TGCTTGTAAAAAGATACGTCAGGCTGTAACTATTGTGCGTGAGATGTTTTGCATATAGACAGAAAAAATTAATGTGAATTGGATAAAGCTCTAAGAACAGATTCTGAAAAGATAAATGCATGGATATGTAGACAGTTAAGCATATGGCGGACCTTCCAAAGAGCTGATTATGTTTTCTCCCCCTTCCTCCAAATCTTTGCAAGAATGGTTCACCCAGTTACAAATCTAGTTGTCATGTGTCTATCTCTCTCCAGGCTAGAATTTCTGAGCAGCTTGAGTTTAGAAACAGTTTCCTCACAGCCCGCCTCTTCATGAACTTGTGTTGAATTAAACACAATCCAATGAGCCACAGGCATAGGCTGCCCTGTCTGAGAGGTCCTGATTTAGGAAGGAAGTCACAGTGGAAGTACTGGGAAAAGATGAAGGATACAGATGGAGCCACAGCAACCCTGCCTAATTCCACACCCCAGAAATCTGCAGGAGCAGAGAAAGCATATCAGAATGTGAACCTGGTTTCTTCGGGGATACCTGGTCCTAGGTAAATCCAGCTTCTTTGTTATTAGTGTATTAATCATAACTCATTGGCATGGTAGATACTGAGTACAGCAACTGCAAGCTGCTTTGGTAGAAGATGGAAGAGCTATATAATCTGAGGACAAACCAGAGCAGCCATGCTGCCTTAGAGAATAAAATCAAGAAGCAATAGAATGCATAGTTTACTTCCAAATCTTTCACTTCAGGATACCTACATATCTAGCATATGGTGGGGAAAATAACTTTTGAATGGAAGGTTATCTTTATAGAGTACCTCAGTCTAAGCAAAACAACTGTCCAAGTCGAAGCAATTGTCAGGATTCACTGCTAGAAATTTTAGTTGCTAGCAGTGAATCCTGACAGATTTATCTGTTTCACACCAAATCTAACCCATGACTAGAAACAAGGCAGAGTTACATAGTGAAAGGAAAGAAGTGAATATTTATTTATTTTTGAAAGCTATAGCATATTTATCCAAAGCATTGCTAAATTACTTAAAATTTTTATCATGCTATCACTGAGGCTCATCCGAGAGGGGACCCAAATAAACCCGGAATTATTTTTTGGAGGGCAGGCCCCTTGCAATACAGGCTTCCCTTGCTAGGTACATGGTCTAGGATTGGCATCAATTGTCCAGCTAGTACTGTTGTGAGAAGCTGTGTTTGGTTTCAATAATTTTTTTGTTTTGGAGATTCTTTGCATTATGCATTTGCCCATTTAATGCTTGGTGATTTAAGAGCACACCTGCCCACACAGTGCTGAGTGTTCAGTAGTTCTTGGTCAAAAACAACATGTCTCCCATGTCCCACCTTTCCTATTCACCCAATCATACACTGAGTGGCATTTTTTGCTTTCCTCGGGTGAAAAAAGTCCTCAAAGGGAAATGTTTTGCCAATGTGGAAGGGGTGAAACAAACAAACAAAAACTGTATAAACACTAAAAGGCATCAAAATTAACAAGCTCAAAAACTGTCTTGAGCAGTGGAAAAAGTGTCTCAATAGGTGTATTGCATTAAATGGAGAATACTTTGAAGGTGACTGAACTATAAACATATAAGAATAAATAGATATTTTTTATAAATTAATTCCAGTTTTTTTGGGTCCCCCCGTATAGACACATTCCCCTTTCAATCTGTTTGTCACAGTAAACAAAGAAAAACATATAATTTTTATCCCTTATTTGAGAAGATGCACGTCCTCATTAGAGTGGTTTTTCAGCTGATTTTTGTTGTGTTGAGCCATGCTAATGAAGAGAAGGAATGGGAGGGAAATTCACCGTGGAGAAACCCAGAGCAACTGTTTATGGCACTGGCATGCTTGGTTTCATTCTGTAGCAGATTTCCCATCAACAAAATAGTTTATTATTTAATTTAATTACATACGTAATTTACTTTATTAATTTAATAATTTACTTACTTAAATTCACTAGAGAACATTTTCTTTTCCCAAATCTCTTTCTACTTTATTGGTTGAAAAAAAACCCTGGAAATGTGATTGATGAAAAGAAGCTTAAATAAGATGAAAAGTTTGTCAAAGTCAAAACTAAAGACAGATAATGTAAACCTCAACAATGAGTTGGTTAAACCTAGAAGCAAGTTGGCAGGTGCAAATGTTTTTGTGCATGTACAGATATGTAATCTATAGGTTCATGTCTGTATGTATTTGTGTGCATATTTTAGTATATATGTAGAAAGGAGTTTTTTGCTGAGAAGTTACACTATTCATATTATAAAATATCAACATTTCCATGATACTTGAATTTCTGCATATTGTGTGACAAATTCTACAGAAATGGAAGTAAGAGTTGTCTTTAAATCAATATGGTTAAAATGATATTAATACCAGCATTTAAATGTAACCACCAGGTAACTTCTTCTTCATTATTTTTAGGGTTTTTTTATGGTAACCTCTTAAAAAACAAGTAGGAGCCAGGCTCGGTGGCTCAGTCTGTAATCCTGTGCCTTTGGGAGGCTGAGGTGAGTGAATTGCCTGAGCCCATGGGTTCGAGACCCGCATGGGCAACTTGGCGAGATCTCATCTCTACAGTAAATCAAAAATCAGCCGGGCATGGTAGCAGGTGCCTGTAATTCCGGCTACTTGGAAGGTTGAGGCAGAAGGATCGCCGGAGCCTAGCAGGTTGAGGCTGCAGTGGCAGGGAGCGGCCACTGCACTCCAGTCTGGGTGACAGAGTGAGACTCCAACTCAAAAAATAAATAAATAAATAAATGAATAAAAACAATTAGGGAAAAATTAACTTATACTAATATGATATGGATGTCCATAAATTGATGAAAAACATAATATATTAAAAACTGCAAATAAGTATAAAGAGTTTACTAAATGATTTTAGGTTCATCATATCAATCATCTTTTGAAAATCATACCGGAAGGAAGAGTCTGCCAGAAGGAACAAGAAACATACTAAAAATTAACACATCTCAAGCCTTTTCTACCAGGAGGATGCACCCTCTCTGTCTTATTCAGAGCTAGATGGGAGCAGGACAATTTTGCTTATTCCTCAGCCTGTGTACAAAAAACACATACATGTTTCTCAATCTAATTTTTGTTATTTTTTATAGGAAACTTCCTACGTTTATCAACTATATATGTTCAATGAATTGAAATTCAGGATCTGATTGTCTACAAAATATTCTTTCAACATATAGAAACAAAGCTAAAAATTATTTATTTCAAATATTTGTTCAAATCAATGTACATTTTTAAGGTATAAACTTCAAGACAGCATGAGTATGCTGTTACTCCATGTGAGTGGTAGCATTGCACAGCATATAGAGAATAGAGCTTGGATTACAATGACCGAGCCCAAGTCCTGACCTTCCTCTGTGTGGGACTAGAACCTGGCAGGAGACTAACCTCCTTCAATACCCTAACTTTCTCACCTACCACGCCGGGTTCCTACGGTAATTAAATGAACTAGTTTGCATCAAATACTTAAAATAATGATAGAAAATAGGACACTCTTCATAAGTATTAGCTATTGCCATTCCATGAGCTCCTCCCTGCCTGATAAATAAGGTGTTTTTTTTTTAACCAAGTTAGTAGGATTAAACACCTCTTTGAAAATTAAAGCAAATCAACAGGCAGTACTGACAGAGGGTTTAGAAGCCTCCCATATATATATATATATATTTTTTTTTTTAAAGAGAGAGAAGTCAAAAATTGACACATTGTCATGCATACAAAAAGGAAAAATGAAAGCATCTTTATTATAACTGGATGTACCATCTATGACAAAGCTAAGTGCTCACATCCGTTTCATAGATAACTCCCATTTTTCAAGGTTTATGACTCCATCATAAAAATTCATTTCCCAAGAAAGCTTGCAAATACATCTCCCTCTGCATATCATTATTTTTATTGTCTCTCTTTTAGTACTGTGATTTGATTTATTAATAATCAAGTCAAAACTATTTCTTTTAGAAATTTAATGCCAATCCCCAAAATAAACACTCCGGATAACAGTAGTGAAATCACAAGAAATATATGCAAGAAAAAAACTAATTTTAAGAGGGGATTGGATTTGAATGACTGTCTCAGACTCCAGGTTAATATCAGTGTTGACGACATTCTATGTCTGGGTTCACACAGGGGGATTCTCACTCTTAGAGGTTGGTTGCTGAGCATCCATCCCAAAGACTAAGTCAAACATGTGGAGACACAGAAATACCCCAAGCTCCCTTTAATAACATATCATGACTCTATCACTCAATCATTACCTAAATATCCCCTGAAAGTTTTCTATTTTTGAGTGGTACTGTTTCATGGACTATTGTCTTCTGGAGGCTTACTACAGTCTATGTAAAGTAGAAATTAATTTTGTTTCACATTTTAAAAAGAAGATCCCTGGCTCTGATACTGTCTCTTTAGATGATGATTGCATGGAGTTTGGTGTTTTATACTTACTGCACATGTAGGAGATTTTTACTCCCACCCACATGTACTATTTTTCTGCTTAAAGTAAGTTCATCTGAACTGCAGGCTATGTGAACAGAGAAGGGAACCCTTATTTGTAAAACACTTTTCTTTTGGGGGCCTGTTAAGACCCCAATTGAGTCTAATTACCAGCCAGTTCCATTTTAAATGAAAACCTTTATTAACTGGAAAAGAGGGAGCAAACACATTTGTTTTGAAACTTGGCACAAATATATCTATTGCCCAGTGAATGCATGTGAAAACTTTATATCTACTGATATAAATAAACACTGTAGAGTTCAGAAGCCTAAAGCGTATTTAAAAATAAAAGACATCCTGACATAATCATAACTAATTAGCTTATTTCTAACTATATTATGCTGAAATGAAAGTAATTATTACATGAATTTTTCCATTTATGTAAGCTCTCCTATTTAGTATTTTAAATTCCAATCCACTAATCAATATAATTTTTTAAACTACAGTGATTATCAACATGTAAGAATTTTTATTTTAAAAGAATCAGATTCTTACCCTGATTGAAGGGTTTTCCTGGACTCCAAGTACGGAAATAATCATCCTAAGGAGGAAAATAATGTGAATTGAGTGTTTATGAGTAATTAAAATGCAAGGATTTATATAAAATCTAAAATCAAATAAGAAACACAAAAGCTGTAATACAAACCTCTACTTCCTGCAATGGCAAGCAGCAAATTTTAAATAAACAAAAAAAGAAACAAGAGAAAAAGAAGAGTTATCAGAAGGAAACACACTGTTTACAAATTATAGAAATGTCTTTCAATAAATGTATTCATTTTCATTGCAATTTGGTGGTTACTATAACAATTTAACTGTTTGGTTGTCACTTTTCCTAGATATTAGAATGTAATAGTTTCTGTTGCAATTCAATGTGTAATATAACATGCAGATAATTACCCTAAGCTAATAGCTATAAAGTATCTTACCAGTTTCCAATTACACGACTTCATTTTCCACTAGTACAATAGTAAATGGAACCATTAATACAGCAAGGAAAATACCAAGTGATTCTGCAATAGCCCACAGAGCATAAATATACTTTATGCAAATCATTCACATGCTAATTGACTATCTGAGGAGTTCATCAAAATGCAATCAGGAGCTTAAAAAAATGCACACTAATTAAATCCTGCCTAAAGTTTAAATCTTTAATATGAAAATGAATCAATACAATATATTTACACTATATTTAGTGAACATGACTGTATAATACAAAAGTGGGGTAATGTATACTGACTAAAATCTTAAAAATCAAAGTCAATGGACTAAATCTGTTCTATGTACTGTTTTTTCCCTCTAAAAGCGTTATAAAAGTACCTCATCCATACCGTCTTTCATTGTAAATAAAAATGTGTCACTGGACAAATTAACATGCTGTTTTCACTATAGTAACTTGCTATAAGAAAAGTGCCACATCGAGGTGAAGCCATAATGCTTCTTAATTATATACTGCTAGACCACACTAGCCAGTCCCTGGGAAGGTCACAAATCTACATAATCCAAAGGCAAGCAGAGAATTCTGTGGGGGGGGGGTGTGCCTGTGGTGTAGTTTTGTTACATGGACATAGTGCTTAGTGATGAAATCTGGGTTTTTAGTGTAGTCATCACCTGAACAGTGTACATTGGTCCCCAAAGATAATTTCTCATCCCTCATTTCCCCTCTTACCCTCCCGCTTTCCACTAGACCCTCAAGTGTCTTTTATTGCACTTTATGTCCATGTGTACAATTATTTAGCTCTCACTTATAGGTGACAATATATGATATCTGTTTCCAAGTTGTTTCACTCAAGATAATGACCTCCAGCTCTATCCATGTTGCTGCAAAAGAAATTATTTCACTCATTTTTATAGGTGAATAGTATTTGAGGGTGTGTGCATATATACACATCACATTTTCTTTATCCAGTCATCCCTTGGCGAACACTTAGTTTGGTTCCATGACTTTGCTATTGCGAATGGTGCACACATACATGTGCAAATGTCTTTTTTATATAATTATTTCTTTTCCTTTTTTGAATCTCTTCCTAATCTCTTTGCTAGCATTCTCTAACATATATAGAAGCACATATTTTAATTATGAAAATAAGACAATTCTCTAATTTATTTATTTTTAAAATATAAGTTAAGTTTCAAAAGTTTCCTTTAATGTGTCTAACTATTCATCACCAACTTCCATATTCCCACCTCATCTACCTCAAATGAAAAAGAGAAAATAGTGGCAGGTGGTAGCTCCATTGGTCTTGTATTTATGTCCAGATATGGTTATGTTGAGCAGGGGAATTATGGTAATCCACACAATAGGTTCTGCATTAATTATACAGGATTAGATTAAAGATGTGTAATGCTACTGGGTAATTAAACAAACACTGATTATGTACTTGTTTATAAAATATTTTTTAAAATATATATAGCATGGTGGAATTCTTGGGAAGCTAAGCTTTCAAATTAAATCACTCCACTAAAAGTCTCGAAACTTTAGCTAAGCATTATGGCACCTTAAATATTATACATATGATACCTTATATATAAATTATCATTAATATATCACTCATTTAATATATTTTATTAAAATACACCTTGCTGTTTGGCGATGATGACTATTATTCATTCTGAGCATGGGAGGAACTGGGCAGCTATGCTTTTATTCCCTCTGGAAGCATAACAGAAAGCTAGCCATGCACACATGCGTGATAGATCTGGAGACAGAAAACTTGTATGCTCAGTCTATCTTCAGCACTTAATGGCTGCATCACTTTACACAAGGTGATGACCTGGACCTCAGGTGCTGTGACTGAAGTTGGAAAACGAATCCCTCCTTACCTGAGAGGGGCACTGTGGGAATTAGTTATAAAATGTGTACAGTGCCACAGAAACTGACATCCAGGAGATGCTGGAGCTAAACAGCTTCTCAGAAGGCTCAAGTTTATCTTTGATGGTGACTTTGGGCAACAGCATTGGACATGGTCTCATTATGCAAACCATCCTTTTAATTTCCTGGATTCTTAAAATTAGCCATGAATGCCTCATAAAATTTTAAAACTGATGTTTAAATGGCTCCCTCCAAAAAAAATGTCTTCTTTTAAGAGTAAAGGAACATACTTCACCCCGGACTATTTTCACATGGTACATCCAGGAGTGGTATCACCCACTAATATGTGGGCAGCGTGTTTCCCACAACACACCATGGGGCAACACTGAACACCTGTACAGATGATCAGGAATCAGGTGAACACGTATTTTTTAAAAAATTTACTTCAGAACATGATTGAGTTTGGTTCATTTGGGACCACATCTATATTAAAATGTAGAATCACATGTAAAACATGAACCTGGTTATCTTGGTTACGACAAGGGCACCCTCAAAGTCTGGCCACTATGGGGTTCTGACACAGCATAGAGAGCACTGAAGTTAGACTACTAAGCTATTCTTAGACATATGCTTTGTGTTCTCACAGCACTGGACTTTTTTTTTCTTTTGAAAACAGTTTCACTTCATTAAATCTTAGGAATTTTGCCAGGATGAGAAACAAAAGTATTTTCATTTAAGTGTTCATTCAGGCGCAATTTCTTTTGTTTCAAAAAGCTTTGTGAATATTGGTCATTCTCAAGCTTCAATTTAGATCCAAAATAAGCCAACAAGGGATTTCGAAAACAACTGCAAGAAATGCCCTCAATTGGAGAAATTTAGGATTAGACAACTGCAGCCAATCCTGAGCATTTCAACAGGCAAAGTTAGATTCTTGTCACTCATGTTCAGAAACGTATGCTAGTGAGTTACAGAGACCCTAGAATTTACTATTACACCTCTGCCAATTTCTTATACTTAAATAAGTAGTAACTTTTTTCCACAAAATAGAGTCTACATAAGAACACCAAATTTGTGTATTATATTATTCAAACTGTCTTTTTCCTTATGGCTTAAATGCTATATCATTTTCTCTAATTTTAAATAAAATATATATTTAACATAGAGCACAGTTTTTCCAACCTTAACATTACTGATATTTTGAACCTATGATTCTCTGTTATGTTCAGGAGGGATGCTGTCCTCTGCATCCTCGCTGTTCAGCAGCCTCCCTGGCCTCAGCTCACAAGACACCAGCAAGGATACTCTCCCAAGGTGTGACAAAGAGATATGTCACCAGTTATTGACAAATGTCCTCTTACGAAAAAAATCATGCATTTGATGTAGCGTTGTTGGGAAATAAAGAAAAACTAATTAAAATATACTACAACAGAGAACTGCTAAAAGTAACCGACTTTCTCCACAAATATTTCATAATACTGACAGCATATTATACATTCAATTTCAAATTCAGATTTTTATGTAACATTTTATTGAGAACATTTTGCAACTTTATAAATATTTTTCAAAATATTTATAGCTACATGTGAATTTGGTATCATTTAACTTTGCTCTCATGTCTGTGTTCACAATGTTTATAATATTTAGCTATAATAAATAGTATAAATAAATATCTGATTAAATTATATGTATTATATATAAACTATAAGTTCAGGAGGATGATCAGTGGAAATAAACACCATACCCAGCACAGAGAAACTCATTTTCTGTTACAATTCCTGGTTACAACCAGGATGTGCTCAGGGAAAGAGGGTCACAAGGATAAGTTTATGCCCAAAGATCAATGTTTGGTTCATTCGTGTTCCATAGCTGTGTCTGTGCTGAAGGTCTACCCTGTCTGAAGGAATCCCCTGGACTGACATGGAACCAGCACAGGGAATGCTTAAGTATCCTCGTAGGTTTTGATATAGGATCATTCGGGAGTGGGAGAGTCTTGAAGCCCAAGAGCTCCTGGAGACGTCAGGCAAAGGCTCAACCAGGCACTGCACCAGCTGTCATGAATCCATTCAAGACCTCTTATGGTTAGGCACAGCAGCATAAGCAGTATCATCTTAATGAAGGATGTCTGGGAAAAAAAACTGCTAACAAAGCATCATACTCTTAAATAACTGTACATTGAAGACTGCTGAACAAAATTTGGTCCTACATTCCCATAAACATTTTGCTATTTTTAGACAGTTACCTCTATTAATTATTTTTGAACTATAGAAAAAGTATTACACAATTATGAAATGAGATGCAGAAGATAATACATTTGAAAGTACACTCCAAAAATAAAATGAATGTCAAAATAATTATTATCAATGGTAACTATTCCTGATACAGCATGCTCACATCCCAAGTACAAATAATGGTCCAGGTCCATGTTAAGTGTAGAGTTTTTTGGTCAATCTATACCAAAGCAGTTTAGGTGATGATAATTCCACAGTACTTCACTTCTGAGAGCTAATATTGGATCTCTGTACATAGTCAACCATTTGGAATACACACAAAGCAACATTAGATTCAGCTATGGTGTTGCCAACTATATTACCCCTTTATTGATATAATAAATTGTCTAGTTTTTCTATTAGTTTACAGAGTCCCACTTGATGCTACACTGTTTGTGACATTTATAATTGTATTTTATTACATTCAAATGTATGAATTGCATTCCATTAGAGATAAAAT